CGAGAGAATTTGTTGACATTGCAACCAACACAGATACTATTGCTACAGCAGCCAGGGAGACTGACGAAAAGTTATACAATGATACAGACCAACCATTAAATGTGACATTTGAAGCGTTTAAGGTAAAGGAAAACCAGGACAATATGTTTAAAATAATGCTTAAAAGCTTTTGGCGCAACACATACTAAAGAAATGAGCCAACAAGAACACAAGCAACACAAACACTGAAAAACCAACGCGATGCAATGGTGTCAGCCTTTACTAAAATGCTTGACAACAACAAACCGCCAGAACCACCGCCAAAGAAACCACCAGACGAGGATGACAGCGATGAAGAAGAAAAGAAGTTCAAACTGACAAAAATGATAGAAATAATGCTACACAACGGCGCTACAGTAGCAGATATAATATTAAACTTATCACATAGCGCAATTGCAACAACAATAAATATCGCAGATTTAGTTAATCAAATAACAGCAGGAAATGCACAAAGTAGCAGTAGCAATTCATCAAATGAAGCTATTAGTGTTCATAGTTCTCCACCTATTACTGTCCATAGTTCTTCATCTGAAAGTCCAACAGAAATACCAGCACCAACTGAAGACGAAGAAGAAGAACCACAAAAAGATAATATTGAAAAAATAAAATCTAAATAATATTATATATAATGGGTTCAAGTAAATCAAAACCAGTAGAAATTGATGATGAAGAGGCTATTAAAGTAATAAAATATATAGATGTAAATACGATAAGTGAAATGTCAAGAATTGATATTCTACAAATAAATTCATTGAAAGCAATAATAAATAAATTAGAAAAAGTTAATGAATGTAAAAAAGATAAAATATATTATAAATTACCTGCCTTAAATTTATGCAGCTATTCTTGATCCTAAATTGATAACATTAAGCCTATGGCTTAATGCTATTAATTACTATCATAATCTGTCATTTCACTTTCGGGTAATTTTGTTGAGGCATTGCTACACATATCATCTATTAAATCTTCTTCATCAACAAAATTATTTTGAAATCTTAATAATTCCTCGTCTGTTGGTCGTCTTTTTAACACTTTATAAAGTTTATGTATCCAAGAATTAGTGTGAAAATTATAATTACCCCTACGATAAAATCCACCACATCTACATAGTTTCATTGGCATATTATTATATTATATTAAATTAAAATTTCTTTATTCATCATTTGTAATTTGAAATGCCTGTTCAAAATTGATATGAAACATTTTGTTAATGTCTTTTGAATTCATATTCACGTAGAAAAAAGAATATGGAGCAAAATTAACGGCTTGATGATACATATCTAATAATTGCAGTTTGTCAACAATGGCGCTGTTTTCTTCAATAAAACTCATTAGCTCACTGGCATTTTTCAACCTAAAAATATATAATGAACTGGCATTCAATCGAATGATAGGCGCTAAAACATTGTATTTTTGTGTTGAACAAATCACACTTACTACATCGTGCCTGCCTCTTGTATATAATCCATGTAATAATTTACTATATCTAACAAATTTAGGGTCGTCTGCGTGGTCATCTATAACGATTAATATTGAATGCAGTTTCTTTAACTTTTTAGACTTCATATAGTTAATAATTTTCTTCTGTCTTTCAATTACATTTTCTAAATCACTTGGATTATAATTATCAAAATATATTTGTTCTTTTTCATCATCCACGTGCAATTCATCCCTGATGTATTTTTTAACTTCTGTAAATGTAGGGTCGTTATGGACACTGGGTGAAAATATAAATATTCTTGCAAATGAATTTCTATAAACATTCAATACTAAATTTTGAACAAGGACAGTCTTACCGCCTGTCGAAGAAGCAACTATAATACTTCTAAATGGTAATTTTGGCACGTGCTCATATTTGGATTGCTTGAATTCATATTCAGTTAGGTTTATTGGTTTTATTATTGGAACATCTGTCATAGTTGATATTAAAGATATATAGAAAATTATATTTAAAAATAACTTGTATATAATATTAAATGGAACAGGTTTTCCATTGCTTCAATCAATAAAGCATTGAAGCTAATTAGTTTGATGCATTGTAAAGAAAACCCCAAGTGCTGTGCCCTCCGAATATTCTATCATGCATGAAAATAATAAGATTAAATAACTATTTTATCTTATTATTTATATGAATAGGAGTTATTCAAATTATATTAATATAATAGATGAAGTAGAAAATATAGAACAAGTAATAATTACTGACAATAAAATAAGAAATGTTGTTATTATTCACTAGAAATAATTAAGCTAGGAATACAATATATCAAAAATAAAAATGTAAATATTAATAGAAATGCCAAGAAAGAAAAACAAAAATAATAAGACAGGTTTAAGTTTCTTCAACAGATCAAGATAGCGGAGAAATTGTTAAAGAACCATCAGTTATTGAGTTTGCTTGTCCAATGTGTAAAAAGATTTTAGAAATGAAGAATGAAATAGAAATACAAAAGAAAGGAAATTGTAAATGTTCATGTATTCCAACAAGTTTCAAAATAAGTAAAAATGATAAGAAAGTGAATATTGATAAAACTAAAGACAGTATCAACTTAGAAACAGATGTCCATAATATAGCTTTTAAATGGGGTAGGCAAGCAACACCATCCGATAGTAATGAAAACGAAACACAGGAAACTGTTAAACAAATGATGAAAAATTAGTATTTAAAGAGTAGATTTAACATAGTTGCACTTTAAACATATATAATTAAATAAATAATTATCTAAATAAATATACAGTAATGTCTGAAAATGAGAATTATACTATTAATGATTTAATGAATAAGATAACATTAATTGGTAAAAATATCAAAAACTTAAATGATATGATTAAATCCATTGATGAAAAACTTAAACCAGTTGAACGCGAACAACAAAGCAACGAAGAGAAGGAGAAAATCGAAAAGATATTTCAAGCAAAATCTATAGGAATACCATCGGGCGACTACCCTACAAAGCAAAAGAAATACTGTGAAATGTTGAATACAGGAAAAATCAAACAACCAAAGCAACAAACATTCCAGTTTTATAAGAATACAAAAAATGATGATGGAGTATATGTATTATTTTGAATAATTAATATCTAAGTAATTCTAATAATATGAATTTATTAGAATTATTTAGCGGAACAAAAAGCGTCGGAACCATAGCAAAGTCGCTTGGATTTAATGTAATATCATTAGACTTGAAAAATGCTGATATCAACACTGATATTTTGGAGTGGGATTACAAACAGTTTGACAGAAACCATTTTGATTTTATTTGGAGTAGTCCCCCATGCACTGAACATAGTGTAGCAAAAACTAGGGGAATTAGGAATATCGACTATGCAAATAGTATTGTCTTAAAACTATTGATATTATCACATATTTTAATCCTAAATATTTTGTAATCGAACATCCACAAACTGGATTATTAAAACATCAGGAGTTTATGGATGAGTTTGATTTTAAAGATGTAGATTACTGTAAGTATGGATTTAATTACAGAAAACGCACTAGGCTCTGGAATAACATTACAACTTGGAAACCTAGAGATTTATGTAAAAAGGATTGTGGCAACATCAGGAATAATAAACACATTGAAACACCACAACGGCTACCATCGGGCACCAAGGAAAAATGGGGAGACAATCCAATAATACATAAGCAGGAAGACTTATATAAAATACCTAGCGAATAAATTTGTGAAATCTTGGTGAGTTTGAATTAGGGGGGGAAGGGGCTTCCCCTTTTTGGGGGAAGGGCTTCCCCTTTTTGGGGGAAGGGCTTCCCCTTTTTGGGGGAAGGGCTTCCCCTTTTTGGGGGAAAGGGGGAAGGGTTTCCCCTTTTTGGGGGAAAGGGGGAAGGGTTTCCCCTTTTTGGGGGAAGGGTTTCATCACATGCTCACACAGCCTGCCACTGCCTCATGTGGCTCATTTCGGTGGTTCAATTCAACCCATAATGAGTAAAACCATACTATAATAATAACATTTATACCCTTATATGTTATAATTATAATGTAAGTATAGCGTTTTATATATTGAAAATAAAATCCTACAAGGGACACCACGCGCAACTTCGGAATATCCAAATGTTGAAAAATGATTGATTATTAAGTCTCCTCATTGAATTATTGAACATGTTGTTTCTTATTGAATAATTCTTCTTAAAATGCTATATATATTTATCTCTTTTGAAAATATATATTTTCTAAAATATTTTGGAACATATGTGTTTTTGAAAATGAAAATGTTTAGGTGTATTGAGTTTTTCAAAACATAATTCAATTTTTGTTTTGGTACGCTGTACTAAAAATATTTATCAAAATGTGTTTAGACTGTTTCAAAATATGTTTTAAAATGGTTGTTTTGGGGCGCATATTCAAAAAATGCAAAAAACCTAGCGAGGACCCTAGACTTTTGAGCTCGAAAAAAGTTGCGCATGGCCAAACCTAACTGTGTCACCCGAAGAAGTCACACACCAACCCTTTCGCATGAGGTCCTGCAGCATGGGCTCGCCGGGTCCGTTCGGTTCACCGGGAAATGCCGTCCTTTCCTTTGGGCCTTGTCCCTTTATTCGGGGCAACTCCCCGCTTTTCGCTGGGATTTGAGCGGTTCTTTTCTTTTTGTGGGGTTCATGCCAGCTGTGGATTTGGGAAGCGCCCTAAAAAGTCGCCCACCTCCGGCATGAAATTCCGCCTTGGAACACCGAAAAGGACGAGGGTCGATCCGCGCCTGCCCAAAATCTCCGCCCCGGGACCGCCCGCCATGGCCCGAAGGAAGCCGCCTCGAGTCAAAACGAGGACCAAAGAGTTTTATGACGCGTTCGGCCCGAGCGACAGGGACGAGAAGTCGGAAGAAAGGTGGCGGTTTCTTCTCTCTTTCTTTTTTAGTGGCCAAAAGCCAAAAAACGAAACAGCCCTTGAAGAGTTGGTTTCCGTGTTCCCCTCAGCCAGCTCCATCCCTCTCCGAGTCTGATGGCCTAGGTGTCCGTGGTGCCAGAGGTCCAGACGATCGAAAACTGCGCCTCAGGCGTGCGGCTGGAGAAGACCTCGACCAACCAACCGACCAACTCACCAAGCGGTGGCTGTGGTTGTCAAAAATAGAAATGGTAACCCCCAAAATGGCTTGCACCCTGGTACATGGAAACAACCACCAAAACCTGTGGTCCAATTCCTGGTGGTTTAATTTTGACCCACAACCATGTGATGCCGATTGAGTTGACCATTTTTTGAAAAGGCCGGCGACTTTTGGGCACACAAAAGAGGGGACCGCCGGATTTGTTGTCTAGCCCAAATCGGTCCCAGATTCCGATTCCCCGATAATACCATGCCATATCGATTGGGGGTAGTTTTTGATTTATCGCCCCTCAGGGAACTACCCTATTTTTGCAATAGGCAACCCGGCTGGCCGAACCGCGCCCCGACTAGATGTCAGGTGCATACTACTTTGCGCATGGTCTGGCATTTGTTCTTCATCAACTCACCAATCTCTCTGGAGAATCCACCTGCCTGCTACTTGTGGAGCCAGAAGAAGAAGAAGCAGAAGAAGAAGAAGAAGCAGAAGAAGAACAAGAAGAAAAATAAGAAGAACAAAACCATCAAGTGGGGTGAATGCAGTCGATAGGACTGCCGCACTCAGCTCGCTTGATGACTATTCATACCAGTATAGATACAGACACCCGTTTGACTTACGCCCACAGGCCTCAGGGCCTCATAGATATTGGAGGAGTCGACGGTCGCAGGGTCGCAAGCAGAAGAGATTGAGTGAATCTCAGAATCTCAGTATAACTCAAAATCCAGTTGGCTTGACTTGAGCTGTGGGCGCTTTTTTTGCGCCCTTTTGGCATTTGACATGAAGGATCTACCCTCCCACCAATTGCAGGGAAATGAACCCTTCAAAAAGGAAAATGGTCTTCCAGGAACCCCCTGTCAGGTTCCATGTTGATTGGTGGGAGGGTAACTGCTGCCGCTATTTGTAGTTTCCGAGGATGCTCATGTTGCCTTGCACTCATGATTCAAAGCAAAGGCTTTGAATCCTGAGCAACAGGCCCAAGAATCGCCAAAAGGACACTCCGATTGCCAAAAGCATGCCTCCCGGAGATTCCGCTGGATGGGTCCATGAGAGGAATCTCCAAGAACCCATTTCATGTGAGGATTCCCCTGGAGATTCCTATTGATCATGGACACGCCCTATGGGCAAAAGGGAGATTCCCCTCACGGAGATTCCCAGGAGATTCCTTCATTGGGATCTGGGGCTCCTGTTCTGTAGGTGATTGGGTGCTTCTCGCCTGTGACGGGATCTTCGACGTCATGGAGAACGAGGAGGCGGCTCGCCCAAGCGAAACCCGAAAACGAGGCGAACTGTCACTGGGGCTTGGCTCGTCTTTTCATTTTGGTTGGACCCCCAAAACGGTGCTTTTCCTTTGGTTTCCCTTCAAAAAACCACCTCAAAAAGGATGGCCTGAAAAGAAGACACACCCCACTTGCACTGCCAGAAGAACCGTTCAAGTGACAATGGAGGGTGGAGGGCAGAGTTCGAAATTGGGGCCGATTCTTCTTGGACAATCCTCAGCTATTGACTGACACCAACATGATGGGTTCGCCTCCGCCTACGGGGTTGCCCTGGGCCACAGCTTTTTTTTTTAGAATGCCAAGCTCATATGGCTACCATATGTTGGGAGCCCACCCGAATGATGTCCAAAGGGTCCCCAGTTCTCCATCTATTGTTTATGGGAAGCGAAGGGGCTCTCGTTTCCTTGACATGTCACGACATATTGGGTGTAAAGCTTTGTCACATCGTTGTTCTTAATCGAGAATTCTGGGCGCTAAATATAGCTCATCATCTTCAGCACGGATTTCCAAATGGAAACCAAACGGGAAAGCTTTCTTTTCTCTGTTCTCCGGATCCGGTTCATACGGGACTTTCTGGGCATAAATAGTTCATATACTTTCATGCCGTTTCTCCACAATTTGTTGATCGCATGCGGCGGAAGCGCTCGTAGGGAACTAACAAGCTCGAAAGGCCACCTTGAGGAGAATATGCGCATGTGTAAGCAAACCCAAAAGTGTTTTTGTTTGTTGTCATTGTACTTGTTGTGCTGTTTTTGAAGCCATATCCGCCTCAGATCGCCAGGTCCCACTAGCTGCAAATCCCATAGCCATGCTGTTTGGGCAACATGATATTTGGTGGGCATCAAGAACATTCTGGGATGTGCTTGAGAGTCTGGTGAGCTTACCAGTCAGAGAAATCTGCGAACGGCAGTAAGGCTGAACATTTTCCTCCGTTTGTTGAGGACATGGTGTGCTTCAGTCATTGATCAATTGCTAAGACGCAACTGGTGGGTTGCAGATCTTCATTTCCGCTTGCCCCCAAAGACACCACCACCCCATTTTTCTCAGACATGGCAGCCATGCTCAATGGCCACACTCAGTCTCCGAGGTCAAAGACTTTATAGAAGATCACGCCTCCAAGAGCGGGGGCCGTATCAGCGACGGGGCTCAGGCTGGCGCGGATGGGGGAAGCTCAGAGCTAGCTTTGCGCGAGTGGGCTTGTGTTTCTTGCAAGTCGCCGGGTTCCGTTGGGCTCAAGGGATCAGGCCGCCCTTGCGTCGTTGCACCAAAATGAGGGGAGAGCTGGACTCCCGGGGGCTTCTCCAGCGGGCAAGGGCGAACCTCACGGATCAAGTTGCTGAGAAAAGCCTCCTGCCAGCCCAAAGCGCGCGCTCGCCGGCTTCCTGTGGATCTGCCCGTTCTTCTTCTTTTTTGGCGTGCTCTCGTTGGTGCAAAGCAGCAGACCTCTGCTTCGGGGCGATGGGACATACAAAGCCGGCAACTTTGCCATCTGTCCAGGTCTGAACTCAAACCTGGACCGAGACAACCCACGCTTTCCTTGGAGGGTAGAGCTGAGGTAGCTGTGCATATTGGGACGAGCGCATGTGAGATTGGGTCATCAGCTGGATAGAATTTAATGAACGACCCGGAGGGTTTGTCAAAAACTGGCACCCCTCCAACATGCTTTGATTGTTTTTTGTTTCCTTCTGGGCACGTCCCCAAACGATGCCCATGCAAAGACTGTGCCAAAATGCACAAAGAGCTTTCAGGCTTAAGAGGCTTAGTTTGGACCTTGCATGCGGTCGAGTTTGGGGGTTTCTCAGCCTTTCCTGTTCTTGGCGAGTCTCCAGACTCCTTTTGGTTGTTTGACCCATTTTTCGCACCAAGTTGTGGGTCTGTGGAGTTCCTGGTGGGGAAGCTGCAGGTTTGCATAGACTTGCTGCACCTCTGCCTGGACAGGGGAAGCAAGGCGGGATGGAGGTCGGAAGCGCAAGGTCTAGCAGCCGGTCGAATTGGGCAGTTCCTCATCCCAGGATTCTTCCGGTGGCACGGGTTCGGCGCGACTGGTCGAATTGGGGTTTCCAGTTACTCCTACATACACCACAGGAAGCATTTTAATAGAATCAAACGACAATGGGTGTTGGGCTATGGCCAGGCTGCTAAGGATCTGGGAAGGTGACGCATATGCGCGCGCAAGGGAGGAAACAATGCGCGCGCACACACACACACACACACACACACACACACACACACACACACACACACACACACACACACACACACACACACACACACACACACACACACACACACACACACACACACACAACACACACACACACACACACACACACACACACACACACACACACACACACACACACACACACACACACACACACACACACACACACACACACACACACACACACACACACACACACACACACACACACACACACACACACACACACACACACACACACACACACACACACACACACACACACACACACACACACACACACACACACACACACACACACACACACACACACACACACACACACACACACACACACACACACACACAACACACACCAACACACACACACACACACACACACACACACACACACACACACACACACACACACACACACACACACACACACACACACACACACACACACACACACACAACACACACACACACACACACACACACACACACACACACACACACACACACACACACACACACACACACACACACACACACACACACACACACACACACACACACACACACACACACACCACACACCACACACCACACACCACACACCACCACACACCACCACACACCACCACACACCACCACACACCACCACACACCACCACACACCACCACACACCACCACACACCACCACACACCACCACACACCACCACACACCACCACACACCACCACACACCCCCACACACCACCACACACCACCACACACCACCACACACCACCACACACCACCACACACCACCACACACCACCACACACCACCACACACAAAACTTCACACACACACACACACACACACACACACACACACACTCACACACCCCCAACACCACACACACCAACACACTCACACACACACACACACACCACACACACACAACCACACTCACACACACACCACCACCCCACACACACACACACACACACACACACACACACCACCACACACCCAACACACACACACACACACCACACACACACACACACACACACACACACACACACACCCCACACCCACACACACAACACAACACACACACACACCACACACAACACCCCCGCGCGCGCGCGCCCCCCCCGCCCCGCCGCCCGCCCGGCCCGCCCGCCCGCCCGCCCCCGCCCCGCCCGCCGCCGACGCACGGCACGCACGAACGCACGGCCCGCCCGCCCGCCCGCCCCCCCGCCCGCCCGCCCGCACGCACGCCGCACCCACGCACGCCCGCACGCCCGCCACGGCCCGCACGCCCGCACGCCCGCACGCCCGCACGCCCGCACGCCCGCACGCCCGTAGCCCGCACGCCCGCACGCCCGCACACCCGCACACCCGCACACCCGCACACCCGCACACCCGCACACCCGCACACCCGCACACCCGCACACCCGCACACCCGCACACGCGCACACCCGGCACGTTCACGCGCACCGTCACGCAAAAGCGCACACGCCCGCGCTCGCACACGCACACACGCAGGCACGCGCACGGGCATGGACGCTGACACATTATCCGCAGCTCGACATGCAACTTCAAGCATGGTCATTGCTCCCATGCTAAGGTGTGGAGAAGGGATGGGCTTCTTTGGCCTCTGACATGTACAGCGACGTGGCATGTTGCGTGTCAACAAAGTAAACTCCCCTCGAGTGTCAGAAGAAAAGTCGATTGGTGCCCAATGTGCCCTTAGTTGGTACCTGTTTGGGATTCGGCAATTCGACAATCCTCTGAAGATGTTGGCATTTTGTTCTCTTCTTTAGCTTCCGGCCATCAGTCCCAGAAGCACCAGATCTTTCTTTTGTTAGATGCAAACCCTTGGTCCCAGGTTTTTTGGGTTGGGCCGGTCTGCAGCGGAGCTTCCAGATAGAGCGCAATGGAGCCAGGACAACTGCACGGCCTGCTTCATCCAGTTCGGTGAATTTTCGGTGAGGCGAGGAGCTTTCCACGCTGGATCGTTGGCTCACTTTTGTCAATCTTTCCACATACATTCCCCTTCTTGCTCAGCCGCCTTTCCCTTGCAAGCTTGTGCGCTGCACATACTAAATGTGCAAACTTTCAGCGCTGTTTCCTAAAAATCATTTGGGCCTCTGCTAATTTGCTACTCCGTCAGCTATTTGGCTATGGAGCTAGCTAGCTAAATGTACTTCGCCTGGCTCTCGGCCAGGGAGGTTCTACCTCAGACAATGGAAGCTGAGGTCGACATGCGTTGGGCTGGCCGAGAGGCGATCCCGGTTTTTTAATGTTGGTTGACACGGATTCAACACGCATGAGGCGGCGGGTGCGTTTTCACCAGTGATCTGGAGCTTCCCCAAAACACACCCTATTTGACCGACCCGGCGGTTTGCTAGTCCTGCTTTACTATGCCAAATTGAAGCATGCGGAAAAGGCGCGGACTGGGATTCGCAAATTTCTTTAACCACTCATGTTAAACCTTCCTTGCTGAGCCAGCCCAAACTTTTACTTTTTCGCATGCCTCATTTTGGTCTTAGAACTCCCCCCCCCTCCCCACTCTCCCCGCCCCAAGCCCCCCATTCCAATGGCCCATGCCAATCGCCCCCTGACCCGACGCGCCTTCCCGGCGCTCTGCTCTTCGGCTTCGCGTTCGGGCCACAGGTGTCCTTGTTGGTTGTTTTGGCCGCAAAATCGCTGGCGATTCCTGGTTTACCTGGTTGAATCATCTACCAAGGCCATCGGTTTCCCCTCAAAGTACACGGCAATGAAATTCGGGCGCTGGCCCGGGTTTCATCATCTACCAGGGCCACCCATCTCGCCCAGGGACACCTCGGAAAAGTCGGGCGCGGCGCGGCGCGGCGAGCGAAGCGTCGCCAGGAAGAGCCTGGAGCTGTTGCAGGGCCCCTGGCGGGCCGCCTCCCCAGAGGCCGGAGGGCCGATTTTCCATCGGGGAGGAGGGCGGGGGGAAAAAGACATTGGATTCTTCCACCCGGGGGGGACGGGGGGGGGACGTTGGAGTGGGGACAGGGGGGGATTTTTTTGGGGCTGAGAAGGTGTTTCGCACTTTGCTTTCTGGGGTGATCGAGTGTCGGAAAATGGGGGGGGGGGGGGGGCTGTTTCTCTTGGCCTGCTGAACGGGGGTAACTTTGATCATGGTGAATCGCCGGACCAGATTTTCAATTTCCAGAGGGCCGTAGGTGAGAAAGCACACTGGGGCATCTTGAAAGCTTGGCAGGGCTCTGCCCAGGTGCACAGCGAAAGCGAGCCGCGAAAGCGCCCAACTCGCTTTGGGAGTTTGTTCAGCTCAGCTTGGGTTCGATGGAAGATTGGTGAGGCGTTTCCACAGTGTGAGATACTAATGCACAACATCCTTCACCACTTCCAGGTCCCCCAGTAGTGCTTTTTTTTGTGGGGGGGGGGGGGGCGGAGGGTTCCCCTACTAAAATAGACTACAGAAAAAGGGGTACCCTTATTCTAACCTCTCTACTGGAGGACCTAGACTTGGTCGGGGTTTCATCCCATCCCAAGCATTTCCATCCACAGACTTCCAACGCCCAAGCTTGTGACTCCAAGGTCTCTGTCGGAGGCCCTCTTTTTGAACAGAAGGATCACCTAAGAAAAAACCTGGAACCACCCCCCAGAAGCAGATTCCGCATAGTCCGCTTTTTCAATTCTTGGATTTCGGTGTCGAACAAAAGCAGGGCAGAACTCCAGTCGGATCATCTTGGAAAGGCTTCTGGTCTGTGGGCTGTGGGAGGAGGGGTGGGGGGGGGGGGGGTTTGGGGCCGGGTGGGTGGTAGGTGCAGGGCAAATACGCGGAGTTCTTCAAGGACCACGGCTTCGAGGCGCAGCGGACGTCTCTCGTTTTTTGGGCGTTTTTTGCGCAGAAAATGCAAAAAAAAAACAACACGAGGCAGCGTGTGGGGTGGGTGGGTGGGAGTGGGACAGCGGTTTGTTTCTTTCTTCTTCTTTTTTTTGTGGGGGGGGGTGGGGGGTGGGAGTGGGATTCTGGACAAGGATTGGTTTGATGTTGTTTGCAACCACCGCGGCGCTGGTATTTTACGAGCGTATTGACGCGCTCAACGGTCTCTTTCAAAATACCAGCAACCTGGGCATGAAATTGGATTCGTCCTTGTCGGTTAGTTGAGTGGACAATAGATGGGTTCGGCTTCAGTCTGGCGCTCATCATTTTTCGGGGCCATCTACTTGTCCACTGGACATGTTTGGCTCCGTTTCAGATGCCAAATACCATCCGGCGGTTCCATTTCTCCCGCTCAAAAACTGGCCGGTTCTCAGAGGGAATGGACCTGGGATAAAGGACACCAGTTTGGTTTGTCTAGGTCCCCCAGTGCCCTTTCTCACCCCTTTGGTTGGGAGATTCGGTTCCCTACTAAAATAGACTACATAAAAACATCGGGTACCCTGATTCTAAACTCTCTACTGGAGGACCTAGTTATATCAGGGTCATTCCGTTTCTCATTCCCTGCATCTCTGGCTGGCAGCGCGAGAAGTTTCTTCACCGATGACCTGAAAACGGACCCCGAAATTCGCCACGGGAGGCGGAGGCGCTGGAGATGACGACCCCTGGGCGCCGCCTGTCAGGCGGGGCTGAGTTGGGAGTTTCGGCGAATCAAAGGCCCGCTGGCGGTCCTGTCCGGTTTGGGGAAGCGTTAGGAAAACGCGAGGACTTGCCGGTTTTGGGAAAGGGAGATTTGTTCGGAAAACGCGAGGATGGTGTGCTTTGTCCTTGATACCCTCCTGTCCACTAAAGTAGATCCGCTGGCGAACCATTTTTCTCTAGTGGGTTCAATCTGAGTGGGCGGAAGGGCGTGGGGGGCGGGGGGCTTCTGAGTACCTTGCCTCAGCTCCGAGTATAGTGCAATTCGCGAAAGCACCCCTGACCTTTACAAGGAGGACTGTGCCAAAGCTAAAGACTCTCCTGGCAGCTTGGAAAATAAGCCAAGCTGAAGCAGCAGTTTGTTTACCGAGTTGGGGTTTGGCAGAGACCCAGGCACTTGTTGGGTTCCTTTGAAGCGGCCTTTTGAGGGGCCCGAGGCAAAATGCATGCCACGGCCAGGACTTTCATTTTTTTGCACCATCCTTTCTCGGGTCCAGCTCGGTTGGTAGCAGGGGGACACGGGGCATTTGGGGAGAAGTGAAACATTTCTTAGGTGTCCTTGAATTGCCCCCTTTCAACCTCCCCAGTAACAGTTTCAGTAGAAGCCACCCGTGGTGAGTTGCAACTTTTGGGGGGAAATCAAATGACCGGGGCCGAGTGGCGTTACTGCAGTTGCCAAAATTGCTGCAAGCGGAGTGGGCATGTGCGGATTACATGCGGCGGAAGTAAGGCAATGCGCGCACGTTCTGTATTGCTTGCAAACAACTCACAGGAAGAACAATCAAAAGCATTGAGGGCGCGCATCAAGGCAACAGCGACATGCGCACAAGGTTGCAGCACAGAAGCTTGGTGTTTGTGTTTGTGGGCGGGTTGCAGGATGTGGATGTGGAAAGATGCAAGCAACTCTTCGGAGTTTTCGGATTTTCACAACTCAGTATTGGTGCTGTACATTATTTCCCCACGCCTCTGCGTCACATCCCCATTCCCCAGTTTTCATTGAACGCACATCTGAGATCGCACGTTGCCTCAGTTGCCCCTCCCACCGGCATGGAACCTGGCCGTGGGAGATGGTCTAAGGGGCTTGTCTTATCAGGGCTCCTAGGATACATTTTGCAGGTTTTGAAACATGTTGCATTTCCAGCAAAATAAAGGGAAACCGTACCATTTACAAGTTGCAATGTTCAGGTGTATAAGGCATCCGGATCCCTGCTTATCCAGGAGGCAGTGTAGATCTTCATCCGGTTTTCGCCAGGTTCTTCGAAAGGGAAAGCCCAGGCTCGGGGAGACGGGGCTGGAAGTTTCTATTTACAAGTCTCAAAGGAGGTTCATCAGTTCTACTGCCAGGCTTGGTAGGCTGTATATGCGGGTGTCTCGAAATTGGGGGCCCATTTTTGGATAGTTTTAACCTTGTAAAAGCAACTCGAAAAGAACCCACCTACCTGGTCGGGATGAGCATCAAAAAATAATTATTTTGGGGATCAACCAAAAATTATTTAGGGGATCAAAAACAAATTATTGAGACCTAGTCTCCGGTCCCCTGCTCTCCTGGTCTCCTGGTCTCCTGGTCCTTGTTCTCCTGGTCCCCATGTCTCCTGCTGGTCCTGGTCCCTGGTCTTCTAGTGTCCTGTTCCCCGTGTCTTCTGGTCGTCTGGTCTCCTGCTTTTTGCAGGTCTGCCGGTCCCTGCTCTCCTGGTCTCCTGGTGTTCTGGTCCTTGGTCTCCTGTGTCTTGTCTCCTGGTCCTTGGTCTCCTGGTCTCCTGGTCTCCTGGTCTCTTGGTCTCTTGGTCTCCTGGTCTGCTGGTCTCCTGGTCTGCTCTACCCGAAACCGACCCTAAACCAAACTACACCCACCCTAAACCAACCCAAAACCAACCTACAAACCAACCTTGAAACCGACCCTGCGCAACTTTTAAACCAACCCTAAACCCGCCCTAAACCAACCCTGAACCAATCCTAAACCCACCCTAAACCTACCCCAAACCTACCCTAAGCCAACCTAAAACCACCCTAAACCCAACCTAAACCTACCCTAAACCAACCAAAATCAACCCACCCTAAACAGACCCTAAACTAAACCTAAACCCACCCTAAACCAATCCTAAACCAACCCCAAACCCACCCGAAACCCCAAACCCACCCGAAACCCAACCAAAATTAACCCTAAACCAACCTTGAAACCAACCCTACACAACCTTAAGCCAACCCTAAACCCAGCCTAAACCAACCCTAAACCAACCCTAAACCTGCCCTAACCCTACCCTACACTTACCCCAACCACCCTTAACCCAACCCTAAACCAACCCTAAGCCACGTAAACCGGCACTAAACCCAGCCTAAGCCCACCCGAAAACTACACTAAACAGACCTACCCTAAATTATCCAAAAAACCCTAAACAACTTTCAAGCCCCAAACCAAACCTAAACCCACCCTAAACCAAGCCTTAGCCCAGCCTAAACCATCCCTAAACCAACCCTAAAGCAACCCTAACCAAACCTCATCCAACCCTAAACCCACCCTAAACCAACCCTACTGACCTTCAACCGACCCTAAACCCTAAACCAACCCTAAACCCACCCTAAACCCACCCTAAACCTACCCGAAGCCAAGCTAGAACCACCCTAAACCCAACCTAAACCAACCCTAAACCAACCTAAGCCAACCCCAAACCCTCCCCTAAACCATCCCCTAACCCAACCCTAAACCATTCCCAGGCCAATCCTAAGCCACCCCTAAACCCACCCTAAACCCACCCTAAAGCAACCCTAAACCCACCCGAAACCCGCAAACCAGCGCTAAACCCAACCTAAACCTACCCCAAACCAACCTAAATCCCCCCACCGTAAACAAACCCTAAACCGTCCCTAAACCAAGCCTGAACCCACCCCAAACCCACTCGAAACCCAACCTACATTAACCCTACACAACCTTATGCCAACCCTACAGGCATTTAACCGATGCTAGATTTGTTGATAGAACTGCGCTTGTATCTGAAAAGTTGTGATTTTCGAACTGGAGCTGCCAAAGTGACCTTCGCGTACTGCACTTGTATTGGAAAGTGTCTATTTTACAGCTGGAGCCGTAAAATGCGCGCTCTGTTGCCCGAAAATGATGTAAATTACAGCGTTTTGGCACCCCCAGGCGAGATAATTTGTTTTTGATCATGTAAATAATTTGTTTTTGATCCGGGTGTCGATAATTTCTTTTTGATCCCGTAAATAATTATTTTTTGATCCTGCGCCCTACCTGGTCCCCAATTCTGAGAAACAACCAAATGTAAACCTTCATAGTTGCGTTGGTAGGACGAAACGTCAATGGGTTGGGGCGCTCATATTCCAGGTTGAACATGGAGCAAACCGGCCCTTTACCTCACATTGTGCTTTCTGAAAACACGCATAGAGGCTGTAATTCTGGCTTGCCATTGGCAAGCTCGGCTTGCAAGCAAGCCATCGATGGCAAAAAGATGCCCAGACTTGGTCTCGTTGCACTTATCTGTTGGACTCGCAAAAACTCCGCTTTTTGTTTTTCCTCGGCCCAGGTCTTCATCTTTTTGGTCTGCCCAGGTCTGCCGAACTCAGCGGCCGATATTTTGGTAAGAGGACCCAAGGACCTGGAGATCGCGTCTAAGAGGCTCTTGGGTAGGATCTCTGGGCAGTTTCAGTTTGCCCTCTGGCTCTCTGGGATCTGAAGCGAGCACGTCTCAACGACAGAACTCCCGAGCTGATGCCCGGAATGGGTGCGAGAAGTCATCTGGAACTGGAGTTTGGTCGATTGGGGGCGAAGGTCGAGGCTTGAATGAGGCCTGTCTTTCCACCAGGAGGGTTCTTTCTGACTAGCACAAAGGCCAGGCTTTCGAGCAAGGACTAGTGATTTTTAGAGGCCAGATCCAAAACCTGCAGCTTTGCAAGGGGATCCTTCAAGCCCAGTAAAGTTTTTTTTGTTTTTCCATTTTATTTTTTTAAACTACTGGCCCAAATGTATCCCTTAAGGGACCTCACCCAGATGTCGATGTGATGCAACTGTTGGAAGGTCCAAGGGCTTGTTTCGCCTTCGCAAGCCCTTGGAAGTTGATTGGATCAGCAGGAGCTTTTGGGACCTCCCACCGAGTTCAAGCGAAGAGTCGGCGAGGATTCGGCGTATTTTGGGCGGGTCGAATTTGGAGTTGGTGCCCCTGGTTGGCTTTTCATTTGGCTTCGGAAAAGGAAAGGGACAGTCACCATTCTGGTCAATTATTTTACACCCAAACAGCTTCTAAGTCAGTGAACTGGATTCAAGATCCAGCCTTCGGAAGTGTGTAACTCCGACATCCCAAGCATAGGTGTCCTTCTTGGTGGTTTTGCTAGAAAAATAGACGGCCCTGGTTTACCTGGTGGTTTAATCATCTACCAGGGTCATTTATTTCCCCTGAAAGGGTACCTATGGTCCCACTTCACTTTCATGATGAGACATAGCATCATATCCAAGTGTAGAAGTCCCACTGAATCCCGATGCTGTGATAGACAGCACGCTTGATGAGTCCAAATACACTTGATCTTGATGAGAGGCCAGGAATGTGACTCGATAGCATAGATAGCTGACCTCCCGTTTTGCCCTTTTGATAGATTTAATTGAGCCCTGTTAGATCCCGGAATTCCATGAGCTGGGCATTCCTTGAGCCTTCTGCTCTGCCATTGGCTTATTCTGTGTATGGCGTGTGCCTGTCGGGGTCCGGTTCCTAATGTTCCCCCCCTTCCAGCCTACCAGGTAATCATCTCTGCACGCGGATATGTATGGATGTATCTCTATCTGATATGTGTATATATATATATTGTATTGGGGGGGGGCCTGACCATACATATATATATATATATGTATCATACACCCATTTCAACGCACTAGATAATGTCAAAACCATCCTATGGTTGTCAAGGGCCCGCCAAATAGGGCGCGCCCCTCCCTTGATCCTCCGAAAGGGGCGCGGTGGGGGGGCTTCCTTTGGGTTCCGTTGGTTTTTTGGGGCCTTTTGCTGGTCGGCTGACAGGCCATGGGGTTGTGTTCGTTCCAGGCCAGCGGAGCTCAGCCCAGCCCGGCGGAGCCCGCCAGGAGCTCTCCGTAGGGGTTCCGGTCCGAGCGGGGCGTGGTTTGGAGTGGGGAAGCCCAGAACGACTTCAAATGGTCTGGGTGGAATTAGGAGAAACCCAAACGGAGCCTTGGGACTGCCAAGACCAAAATGGAGGCCTGGAAGTGGGAGTTTTGGGGCCGCCGGAACTGGGCCCACGGGTTTTTTTGGGGGTTACTCCTGGATGCGTGATCTAGTTCTACCTTTTTCCGAAGGTCCGGACAAACGTTTCGTCCCGGCCTTGGCCATTTCCGCAGGAATGGCCACCTTCCGACCATCGCCCGTGTCTTCCAGGCGACCTGACGTGTCGCGTGCCACCAGTACTAGAATCCTTGGGGCGGTTGGAAAGGAGCTGAGACCTCTACTGGGATTTCCTATGACATGATTGTACATATCAAGGTTGACACAAAAAGTGGTCCAGAATCACAAACCTCTTTGTTTTTGGGTGGCAAAGGCTCACGTAGCTTATACATTCCCCGCCTGGCATCGCCTGGCTTCGCGCACAGCGAGCGACCGCGATGCCGGGAGGCTGTGCGGGGGACCAGGGCGATCCAATCTGCCGGGGGCCTCGACCCGCTGGCCGCCCGTGTCCAGCGGAGTCTGGCGGGTTTTCCCCGCCCCCCCCGCTCGTCGTATGTGTCAGGAGTCCACTTCGGGTGTTTTGGAACGCACTCCGGGCGTCGTTTGGCTTGGAGGTCTCGAGACACGTCACCGTAAACACAAGTGGCTCTACTGGGTGCTGTGTCTCCCTTGGTTGAGCCCGGCCTTTGAATGGGTTGGTCCGGAGTGAAAGTAGATACAACTCCTTCATGGTCTAGTCATCTTACCCGTGGGTCCAAAATAGATACCAAAAAATGGAACCTATGGAAACACAGACTAAGGCCTGCGGCCGGGTTGAAATTCGACCCCTCCCCCCCAACGCGAAGTGGTGCCAACGTTTCGCGTGAGGTCAGCCAGCTCGGGGGAAGGAGGATCCCGCTGGGTTTGGGTCTGAAATGAGGCCTGGAGAGCACGGAAGAGCCCGGCCGCGGCGCGCCCCGGGGGTTTGTCCTGGGCTGCCGGAGTTCGCGGGGGAAAGCTCAGATGACCCGTTTTCTGTGGCTATCCTCCAACATGATGTCCTATTTTAGGGTAGACTGAATATGAAGATATGATTTTTGGTGGACCCCAGAGTCGCGCCCAGGAGGAAACGAGGTGGGGGTTGCGCCACAAAAGATGCGAGGGCCAGAGATGCGGTTTTATGTACCTGCCATCCCTTAGAACATCCAACAGAGGTGCTGCGTTTTTGTTTTTTTTTAATGTTCCGAAGAAAAAAAGAAAAAGCAGCACTGCTTGGGACTTGGGACATCCCGGATGCCTTTGCCAAGTCTCAAAGTGGAAGGTTTCAGCCAGCCTCCTCTACTCTCTCTCTGTCTCTGGGCGGAATGATTCCGTCCGTTTGACCAGTGCTACGCAGAGAGAGCTGACAAGCCATGTGACCTCGGAAGTTTTTGCCGCGTCGGCATGTGCCTGGACGCTCCCGCTTGAATACAGCTCTTGGCTTGGGGGGTGCGGAGATAGCGAGAAAAGGTTCAAAGGCAATCAGCATCTCACAGCCAAATTTTTGAGGAACATGTCCATGTTCCCCTTCTGGGATTCAAAGCTACGATTCGGCAAAGAACGATCTTCACAGTCGGGTGACAATCTGCTTCGGCATGTGGAAAAGGGCAAGCCTGAACCATTCCCTTTGAGGCCAACAGCAACTGAACAGTTTCTCTAGGCAGATCACAGTCGACCGGCACCAGCCACGCCCAAAACTGGCATGTCCACTCTCGCTTAGCCCCGATCTGAGGGGAAAACCTTCCTCTCAGTGTGGCATGGCAAAACACAACCTTCATGGTTGCTCCACTAGTACGTGAAGTTGAGACTCGGGAAGATGACTTCAGCGGCAAACAAGAAGTTTTGGGACTGACGAATCCTCTCGGCAGATATAGTAAGCAACCAGGCATATGGGTATGAGATTTAACAAGGGACCCTTTGATGGAGATCAGAATTCGGTGGGACAAAATCGTCCACCAATCACTTACTTTTTTGGTGGTTCCAGATCTTAGAATTCATGGTTCCATATGGGTTTGAACAAAAATAATAGGGGACCCTAAGAATTGCCCTCAAGTAGTGCCCTTTTACCCTTTTTGGTTGGGAGGGTTCCCCTACTAAAATAGACTACAGAAAAGAAAAAAAAGAAGAAGAAGTCGGGCGCCAGCTTATTTCCAACCTCAAACTACAGGAGGACATCCCAAGTGGCGGTTCCCCGTTTCTGTTTCCCAGTGCCACCCAAGCAGATCCGGGCGGAAATCGATCCCTCGAATTGGGCGCCTCATCGGCGGACCTCTCAGGAGAGCGCCTCTGGCACGGAGTCGAGAGCTCGAGCTGGGAGTGGGCTGTGAGTTGGCGTCCGGTCGCTGCGGGGTTTAGCCGGGGGGTGGGGGGTGGGGGGTGGACCCTTTTCTTTTTCAAATAAATAAATCACGGGGGGGGTGGGGGGTGGACTTGTTTTTCTTTCTTTTTTTTCAAATAAATAAATATCACGCCAAAGCATCTGGTTTGCTGCTTTCGCCGACTTTATTGTGAGAGGGTTGCTTATTTCTAGGTTCGTTCGTTGGTTTTTGCATCAAGCTTTCTGGTATGCTGCTACCAAGTATCCTTGATGGATTTCTTCTTTGGGGCATTTTGCTTGGATGTTAGGACTTTAACTTTTTGCCAACTCATGGGTTTTCCGTATTAAACCACCAAAAGTTAGTCACTTCTAGCAGGGGAGCAGTTTTCGCAACCGAGTCTTTGCGCAGTTTCTTTTTGAGCTCGAGGTTTTGCATGTTTTTTCTACCACAGAACGGCTGGAAGAAGTGGGCCAGATCAGTAAGGGACAAAACACCACAAGTAGCTGCTGCCGCCTTCATACCTCTTTAGTTCTGGGAGTACGACCATTTTACTACCGGGTTTTGATTATGACTCACCTTTTTCCAGACCGGCGATCTGTTGGATGCTTTCCTATGGACAGCTAGTGAACTCCCGCCCTTGATCCCAAGAGACCTGGAGTTTGTTTCGCAAAACCGCTCGGAACAACCGAGAGGCGCTTGCATCAACTTGCTCAACGTGTGGACTTGGCTTTCTTCAAGGCACACATCTTTGAGGACATGTGGATGTGTCGTTTTGAGGGCCAGTCCCCTAAAAAAAGATACACCCATTTGGCTGAATGCTAGACATTGGTCGTCTTGTTGCCAGGCAACTTCTGGCCCGTTCTGAGAGTTCTGTCTGCTGGAAATTTGCGTGGCGTTCCGCCGAGGTAGAGACACAAGTTCTGCTTCTTGCCCCAGGCCGGGATGCAGTTTGGAGGGCACCAGAGAGGGAAATGCCAACGCAAGGGTTTACTTCGATACCCCCCATCAACTGTCAAACACATGACCCCAGGAAGTGTGTGAGTGTGTGGATGTCACTGGAGACTTGGCCATGCAAAATCCAAATCGTACCCCCGGTGAACATCCCAATCCAACCACTAAAATAGGGAACCTAAACTGGGTGGTGCGCTATTGGATTTGACCCACGGCCACTTGTGTAAGTCCTGAATCCGTCGACCCTTATGCCTTTCGGTTTTCATTCACGTGGCCGGCCGGCCTCCAGGCAGCTCTGAGCTTCAATGTTTCCGGCCCGTGTCTCGGCCCGTTTTGGCGGGCAGGGAAGACTCCCCGATTTTTTTTGGGGGGCCGGGACGGGGATGGCCCGTGCTTCCCCTTGTTTCCGTGAGGGTACCCAAAAGGCCTTTTGGGTTGGAAGAGAGGGGAATTGAAGGGAAGCCAATCCGAGACGTTCGGCCCACGATCGGGTGTTCTGGAGGCTCATAGCTGACCACACAGTCTGCTTTCAGACTCTGCCTTGGCGTAAAAGGAGCTCATGAAGGTCCCATTATCAAGGGATTCCGTTATTTCAGGATATACAGTCACGAGTCACACATATATATATATATATATATGCATATGTAGATATATATAGATATATGTATATATATATTATATATATATATGTATAGGGTTGTTCCGGCGATTACCGAAGGGTTGATTATTTTGAAAGTACATCATTGGCAACCAAGGGGGGTTGATTCCTCCCGAAGGCTCCATAGCTTGCGACTCGAGAGCTCCGCCGTTTTCGCTTGAAAAGTTGGCCCCCTTTCTGGGTCAGTTTTCCGGTTGGGAAGCAGCATTGGGCTCCGAAGGTAAAAACGGCTTTGTGGCGTGCCAGGCCCGGCACTTATGCCGCGCCGTCGGGGCTTGGCTAGCCATTCCTCACGCAAGTCAACTCACCTCAGGTTGGTAAATGGAAATCACCCACAGTTGGAAAGGCCGGGAGGGGGGGGGGCCGAAGGAGCTGCTTTAAGCGGGAAGCACGTTTCTTGGGTACATATGGTATTTTCTTTTATTTAACATCTAGAAGCAAGCACTTTCATAATCGGATCTCTTTACAGGCATCCGCACTTCACTTTTCTTTGTCTTCGTACCCTTTTTCTCCTGCTTGGGATGTGACAATGGCTTCGGTCAAACTCTCGGCAGGCGGAGCTGAGACTCTGAGACTCTGAGACTCGTCCGCCGAACTCGCGACAGACTTCTTGCGAGACCTGCCGTCGGCGTTCACCAGGGGGGAGTTTTATACCAGCCATGGCTTAGCATCTAGTCAATCGTCAAATTTGTTGAGACATATATATATATATATATATATGAACTTTGCTGGACATTTATCGACGTACATCCCCAAGACCAACAAGTGCAGTCCAGCAATCGACTTGAAGTTGAGCCGACCGCACTTTCCACTTGCTCGGCTTGCGTCGGCTGGCGTCGGCTGCAGCTTGTGCGTTGGCTCTTGGTCGCCTTCCCCTGAAAAAGCCTTGGCTCCGATGTGAACTATGCCGGGTTGCCTGTAAATTCTGGCTGCAATAGTTCCCCCCCTTAGCTGACAGTCCATCCTGCTTTTGTAGGAGACCCTCAGCTCTCGTTCCCTGGAGGAAGGGCCCAAAGGCGACCGGAAAGATGTGACTGTCGTGTCGAACAGCAGTCGATGTGCGCTATGAGACTCGAGGAGGCACACGAGTGAGACGGAATAAGTATTTTGGGCTGACCAGTGCCTACAGGCAAGCCACCATTGTGGAAACATGTGGAAACCAGGGGGCGACCATCATGCAATACCCAGAGGTAAAAAACTGCCGAAGGGTTACCTACCGGACTGACCTTTTTGTGGGGACGTGTATGTTTGGGTGCTCGCTCCAGACACATAGCGCAGGTCGGGCGCAGTTTAAGTTTCGGCACAGACAGGGAGCGAGCGTGAGTGGCCAGATGTGGCAGCCGTTCATTAAAGCTTGGTGCAACAAAAAAAACAGACAAACGCGCATCAGGCATGCGCAGCATTCCTTCTTCAGCTGTCTTTGAGGCCGGCTGTAGGTTTCACCAGTTCAATCTGTCTCCGTGAGCACCCTTACACAAGCTGAACAAAAGTGCGAGTGCATTGAGTTCACCTGGAAGCACTTCCGGAGGTGGCACTGTCAGGATTTGCTCCTTTCACTTGCACGCCCAGCCCAGATAGGCTCTTGGGTGGTCCGGGGCGGCCCTGAGGTAAGGTTTCACGAGGGTTCCACCAGGGTTCCACGAGGTTCTGCGAGGTTCTGCGAGGGCTGCGGGGGCTGCGGGCACCGCATGCTGTTGGGGATATCACCTGAGCTGATTTTTTGGGCCAGAGGGCATCACTCCGGTCCCTTTGTCCAGCTGGGCAGCTGCAGAGTAGTACTTGAGGTGGGCGAAGCGGGGCATGCTTGCCAGTCAGGGTGGCCTTCCGCGGTTTTTCACCCGATGGGTTCCCGTACCACACTTGGGGGTCGAAAGGACTGTGCGGAAAGTATAGCCAGGTCACCAAAACGACAGTTCCTTTCTCAGATAAAACAGTTTGTGCACTATGGACATCTGCGCACCAATTCCTTTGCATGGGCGTCCTTGGACGGCGTGGGGGAAAGTTAATGGATTCCGGTTGCATATTTTGGTTGCTATCATTTGCGCACAAAGCACGCTTGAAACCAGCAAGTTAGACTCCATATTTTTCGACACGCAAATTTGTTGAAAGCCAGACAAGCTTGATCCGACCGAAAGGCGCGCAAAGTGTCTGGTTTCCAGCGCTGAAAGTCGGTCTTTCGAGTCACTGCCCGTTACGCTCACTCCACAGAAACCTACACCAACGACATTTCCCCGACTTGAAGGGGGGGGCCAAATCGATTTCAACCGAACACCCACCATTTTCCATTTGGCAGTGGGTCCAAACCAATGGGATCCCATTTTGGGGTAGGTGTACCACCGATTTTAGTCCATTTTAGTGGTTGGATTGGGATGTTCACTGTTCACTGAGAAAAACGATTTAGGATTTTAACCCATACCCATTGTAGGCTCTTCCCCAAGGCATTTTCCAGCCCCTTAACCGCCCCCCCTCCCGCAAAAATAGTAAAAGGAGAATTCAAAGAATTATTCTTTCTACTATTTTTTTTCCAACAGCAACACAACAAACAGAAAACAAAATCCAGAACAACAAGCAAACAAAATAAATAATCACAACCAGCAACAAAAATATTTAATCACAGCATGCAACATTAAATAACTCAAACAAGCATACCAACAAAACAGCAACACTCTAAATCATCAAAGAACCCAAACTCAAAAACACACATCAACAAACAACAAAGCAACATACCAACAAAAAATATCATAAGAGTATCAAACAAAACAAAAACAAACAGCCAAAGCACGAAAAAATCAAAAGAGCATACCAAGTCTAAACAACGCACTTTGAACGAGATAAGCAAATTAGGACAATATAATAATTCAATCTTTACAAACGATAAATGTATTACAATTATAACATATAATATTTTACATGTGATAATCATAGTATGATTAAACCTGTTTTTAGTGTTTCCAGTCTCCTATGTTGTTCCAAGAACTGCTCAAAATGTTTCTGATATTATACCAGATTAAGTTAACGTCATAATCTTTCATTGGTGCTCTTTGTTGTATTAAATAACGCAACACTGATACCAAAGTATAATAATTACAATGCATTGTTGTCATTCCTCCTCTTTCATTAATACTATTACCATTACGTTTAACGAGTTCTTCTTTCATTATGTTTTCGTAAATCTCTTTTATCCATTGATGATTTTGTTCTCCATACTCAGCGAACATATCTGGATATATATCTTTCATTGTTTTATCGTTTTTAATTATTTCAATGACTTGTTTATACGATGGATAGGGATTATCCTTAATGAAACTCAATATTATCTTTCTATCCTGTTCCAGCTCTTTTTCTGTCACTCCTAGCATTGGCATTTTCCTCTTATTACATTAAGTATTTATTCCTTTAAGTCATTTTACATTATAATTATAACATATAAGGGTATAAATGTTATAATCATAGTATGGTGATAATTTAAGTTTGGGATAATAATTTAATTGATGATGAGTTGAGGCGTAGGCGTGATGGGACCAATCCCACAAACTTGGGACCCGAATCCCCGAAAGTTGGGACTCCAATCCCCTAAACTTGGGACCCGAATCCCCGAAAGTTGGGACTCCAATCACACAAACTTGGGACCCGAATCCCCGAATCCCACGAATTTGGGACTCGAATCCCCAATCCCACGCATTTGGGACTCGAATCCCCTATTTTTGGGACTGGTGTCTTGTTTCTTTAATCCGTCAAACTCACTAAGATTTCACAAATTAATTCGCTGGGTATTTTGTATAAATCTTCCTGTTTATGTATTGTTGGATTGTCTCCCCATTTTTCCTTGGTGCCCGATGGAAGCCGTTGTGCAGTTTCAATATGTTTATTATTCCTGATGTTGCCACAATCCTTTTTACATAATTCTCTAGGTTTCCAAGTTGTAATGTTATTCCAGAGCCTAGTCCTCTTTCTATAATTAAATCCATATTTACAATAATCAACATCTTTAAAATCAAACTCATCCATAAACTCCTGATTTTTTAATAATCCAGTTTGTGGATTTTCGATTACAAAATATTTAGGATTGAAATATTTGATAATCTCAATAGTTTTTAAGACAATACTATTTGCATATTCGATATTCCTAATTCCCCTAGTTTTTGCTATGCTGTATTCAGTGCATGGGGGACTACTCCAAATAAAATCAAAATGGTTTCTGTCAAACTGTTTGTAATCCCACTCCAAAATATCAGTGTTGATATCAGCATTTTTCAAGTCTAATGATATTACATTAAATCCAAGCGACTTTGCTATGGTTCCGACGCTTTTTGTTCCGCTAAATAATTCTAATAAATTCATTTATTAGAATTATTTAGATTATTAATTATTCAAATAATACATATACTCCATCATCATTTTTTGAAATTTTATAATAGTCTAATGTTTGTTGCTTTGGTTGCTTGATTTTTCCTGTATTCAACATATCACAATATTTCTTTTGCTTTGTAGGATAATCACCCGTCGGTCTTCCTATAGATTTTGCTTGAAATATCTTTTTCTTTATCTTCATTGCGTTCAACTGGTTTCATTTTGTCATCAATGGATTTAATCATATCATTTAAGGTTTCAATATTTTTACCAATTAATGTTATCTTCTTCATTAAATCATTAATAGTATAATCCTCATTTCCAGACATTACTATATATTTATTTAGATAATTATTTATTTAATTATACGTTTTATTATATAATTTACCCGAATAATATAATTTTATATATGTAAATAAATTATAGTCTAACAGTTTTTCATCAATTTTATTTTTCAATTTTATTAAACCTTCATCGTTACCTGTAATTTCAAAAAACTTCAACATTTTATCAAATTTATCTGGTTTAGTTATACCTTTCATAAAATATTTATTATTAAATTTAGCATCTAACCAATAAAAATATTCTATACTCAATTGTCTAGCAAAGTTTTTATCACCGTCGAATATATCATTAATTTCTTCATCATCAAAAGTTGTAATTCTATGATCTTGCCCATTCATAGTTGGCATTATGATTATATAAATAATTATATATTTATTTATTTATTTAATTATATATATTTATAAAGTGCAATTATGTTAAATCTACTCTTTAAATACTAATTTTTCATGATTTGTTTAACAGTTTCCTGTGTTTCGTTTTCATTATTATCGGTTGGTGTTGCTTGCCTACCAAATTTAAAAGTTATACTATGGACATCAGTTTCTAAGTTGATACTGTCTTTAGTTTTATCAATACTCATTTTCTTATCATTTTTACTTATTTTGAAACTTGTTGGAATACATGAACATTTACATTTTTTATTATTTTTTTATTTCTAATTCATTTTTAAGTTCTAACATCTTTTTGCACATAGGACAAGCAATCTCAAATACTGATGGTTCTTTAACAATTTCTCCGCTATCTTCATCTGTTGAAGAAACACTTAAACCTATCTTATTCTTTTTGGTTTTCTTTTTTGGCATTTATATTAATATTTATATTTTTAATATATTGTATCAAAAACTTAATTAATTCTAAAATAAAATAACATATTTTTTTACATCTATTATCAGTTATGACAACCCGTTCTATATTTTCTACTTCATTTATTATATCAATATAATCCGAATAACTCATATTCATATAAATAATAGGA